AAATTACTTTTCTAAAGATCCTAATGGTGATCAGGCATTAAGACAATTAGATAGTTTTTATCCCGGTGATTAACAATTCAAAGTATGCATGCAATCAATCATAAGCAATTAAATAAAAATCACATATTCATGCTAAGGCTCAAGGGTTCGCCCTAGCAAAAGAAATTAGTTCCGCATACTCATAATTGAAATCATAGAAAATATATTCAAGAAAAGGATTGAAACCACCTTCAAGTAAAAAGTCTCCAAAACCCTAACAATTATCTCTGTCTCCAAAATTGTATAAAAGAAAGCGTCGTCTAAAACTGTAGACGGCCAAGCAATATATTTGCTAAACCCCCTCACAAACCCTAAAAACAGGTCTTTTCTTCCCACTAGGAAACTAATAATAATAATTAAATAAAATAGGAAACATAACCCTAAATTAAATTGTCAAATTCGCCTAAAATCTGAACACCCACGTTTTGGACCCATAAGCTGCTCCAAAACTGGCCCAATATAGCTGGATTTAATGTTTGGAATATTCTGAACACTTCTCCAGAAGGCCACGAACCCATCCGAGGTCATCTTAGGCTCCAAAAACGCCATTTTCCAGCACTGCACACTGCTTCTTTCTTTTATCACCAGAAAATAACCGCTTGATGAACAAATCCCAAATTTTGATACAATCAAGCTAAGTGACTCACAAATGTCCTCCAACTGGAATCACTCCAAAATTCGTCCATTTGGTCCTATTTTGCTCCAGAGGAAGTCGAAAGTCCTATATTGAAAATACAATTCAAAGTATCAAAATTCTTCCAATATATTAACCAAAATATACTAAGCTTAGGGTAAAATATATAATATAAAATCTACTCATCAAATACCCCCAAACTTAGCTTTTTGCTTGTCCTCAAGCAAAACAAGACTCAAACAAAAATAAAAACTTAACAAACTAGACAACTAGCTAAAACTCAACCAAGACAAAACTTCCATCTTTAAGTTGCAATCCATAGCAAATTTTAAAAACTAGAACATCTTTTCAAAAGTTCCAACTAATCCCACCACAGAGTCTAAACCATTTAGAATCAATTAGAAAAGAATTCACAAACTTCGTTTGGTGTAAAGTGAACCAACATAGTTAAGGAGACTCAACTAAAACCCTTACCTCTCGTGATTCTTTATTTCACACTTTCACACATACTAACTTTAAATATAACTATTTTTCATTTTCTTTTTCTCTTCAATTTTTCTCTTTTTTTTTTTTCATTTATAACATTTTTTTTTAGCAACAGTAGTGGTCGTGCAATGTCGGTTCACTTAAGCTTTCAATCCAACCCATGTAGCGAGCTTTAGGTCAATGACTCCCAAACCACTAGGGCTTTAGGGCACTAGGTGTAGAACACCCCTAAGGACTTATTAACCCGAGTTGAAAAGGCTACGAAACCAACTAACCACCATGCCCCATGCCAAAATCTACCGTTTGACACAAGAATCACTGCTAATTAGGCGGGACTGGCCCGGTTACTAGGCAAAACCTCGGGTGAGACAATTATTACTTTATTCACAATAATAACTGACTTTACTTAAAACAAAAATTAAAAATAAACTTAGACTAAAAGTAAGTGTTTCAATCTCACTCCCCACAAACCATGTTGGTGTGATGTGCAAAGTTCAAAGTATAATTCATGAATTAGTGTCTAAGCAACGATAAATAGAAAAGACTCTACTGTGGGATTAATCTTCACCATGTCCATTTGTTCCAACGTTTAAAATAATCTATGGATATTAACTTAAAAAGAAAAATTTTAACTTGACAAAAAAATTAAAATCCTAAAATTTTACTTTCCCACCCCCAAACTTATTTCACACGTTGTCCTCAAGGTGTGGAAAATAAAAGAAACATGACAAAAATGAAATAAACTTAAACTAAAATATAATAATTACAAAAGTGAAAATGATTAACAAAACCAAAGAAAAAGAAAGATATTACCTGGGCTGGAAAATGAAGTTGCTGGTTAATAAATGGGTAGCCAAATAAAAAGCCACAAAGAGCCCACTTCATTGAGAACCCAGACCACACACCAAGTCCATGTGCACGGCACATGTGCACCAAAACCTGTGCACCAACATTTGAAAACATTGGATTCCCTTCTTTGAAAGGCATGCAGCTAGCATGCCGTGTTGAAATTGGCGTCAAGCATCAGTACATGTCAGTCATCAAACCCAGAGCCCAAACGGCTCTCTCCCCTCTCTTCAAACTATGTCCTAAGGAGCATAAAAAACTGATGATGCACACCCGTGTCATGCATCAGGAAGGGTAGCTCCATAGGATTCCAAATCAAGGGTTAAGATTAACCCCATGTGCCCATCTAGCTCTCTCTAGAAAATCTGAAAAGGCTTTTAATCTCTCCATTGTCTTCTCAGTTCGGCATCCCTCTTCATACAAACCTTCCATTTTATTTTTTATTTTTCAGCCCTCTTTCTCACTAAAATCAGAAATTGCTCTCCCGTTCTCACATTTTAGAACCTAGCTGCACCACATTCACCATTTCGACTTCAATGGTTTACCCTTCTCTTGCACCTCGACACAAACCCTTAGCCTTAGCCACGCAACCACACACTCTTTTCTGCAACAACCCAAATCAAGTGCTACCATGGAAATGTAGACACATTTAAGCTCCAATCGTTCCACTGAGGTAAACATCACACCTGGCCTTGTGTAATCCATCTGATGATGTTTTATACAGAAAAGAACCAAACTAACAGAGGCTTGGTTGATTTGTGTAGGAGGTGTTGGATCCGCGGAAGACATAATGGGCAAAAGGGAGAGCAGCACTCGATTAGCTCAGATACTAATCTCTTACTGCATGTCTCATATAAACTTCACCCGGCATATGTAAAATCTGTACATCGCGTTAGGGTGTAAAGGTTCTCAAGCTGGAAGCTGAACAATAGCAAAGACAAAACAAACATTGAAGACATCGCGGACCCGAGTCATGCAGCCTCAGTACCCCCTCGCAAAGGTCTTGATCTGTCGATATGGAGGGTATACACTCATCCCTGCAGACCTAGAATGACTTTCACAATGTTGTGTGTTAAGTGATATAGAACTTGGATCATGAAAATCAAAGTGTCACTAGTCTTTCTGTTGTGAACTGTGCAGGAAATGCAGATCCATGATAAAACCGATGGGAAGGAAAGTGGATGGACAAACATCAGCTTCAATAAACAAAACGACACAAGCTTCCAAGAGCCCAGATCAGTGCATCTGGGACGTAAAATTTCATATCCTTGCAAGTGGAATTGTTGTAGATCTGGTAATAAAAGTTGTACTCAGTTTTGTGGTGTATGGATCTGTGATTTAACTGTGCTTCTCCTCCATGCATCGCAAAACTGAGCTGCAGAAAATTAACTGCTCAAATTATGTCTCTGTGCTAGATCTGCAACAATCTCCCCCCAAACTTGCATCTGTGAATGACTTTTTATGTTGATTGCTCTAAATTTCCAGCATAGTGTAGATGTGGTTGATGTGAACGTAGACTTGCTGCTGGGTGTAGGATTCCAGCATAGGACGCTCTTTATTTTCCATGTTTTCAACCTGCAATTAACCAATAAATGCAAATATTAAAAATGGAGTTAAAATCAACATGCGAAAATAAAAAAAGCGACATATTTTTTTATTTTTCATGGTTTTTTTTTTTTTTTTTTTTTTTTTTTTTGTTTTTTTTGAAAACTTAGGTATATATATATATATATATATATATGCATCTAGAAATTTAACTTATAATAAAAAAAAATCAAACGAAAAAATAAAATAAAATAAGGAAAGAGTTTAGAAAAATTGGGTTGCCTCCCAACAAGCGCTTTATTTTAAGTCTGTAGCTAGACGTTGCAGAACTTCGGTGGCTAGATCACTGGTGCCTTCAAAGTCAAAGACTCACTTTCACCAAATTTCCCTATGCATGGTTTTAGTTCATATTTCTTGACCTTGAGCAAACAACCCCTGCCCTCTGGTTCAATGTCCACGTTACCGTTTTGAAAAACCTGCTTAACCATATATGGGCCTTTCCACCGAGATTCTTGTCTCCCTGGAACTAACTTGAAACTGGTATTCAACAGCCACACCTTTTTACCAGGCTGTATTTTCTTAACATCTGGGCTGCCTGGCAAATTTTCATGTTTTTTCATAGTGTTAATTGGCTGGTCATCATGTAGCACCATTTGCTGCTGTGGTTTAGGACTTATGCAATCTCGAGTCAAATTTGGAGGCTTTATGGACAGATGGTCAATTGATGATCTGCTCATAAACTCGGCACTTGGTAAACCATCCAATGCATCAACACGTACTTATCACCTGAATGTATGCTTGCTTCAAACAACTTGAAAACAACAGTTTGATCTTCAACCCAGAATGTTAATGTTCCGGCTTCAACATAAATAAGAGTGCGGGCTGTTGCTAGGAATGGGCGGCCCAAAATGATGGGTGTTGTCAAATCCTCATCCATGTCCAACACCATAAAATCAGCTGGTAAATATAAATTGTCAACCTTCACAATAACATCTTCAATGATCCCTCTAGGATAGGTAATTGAACGGTCAGCCAATTGAATAATGTTGGAGGTTGGCTTCAGCTCTCCTTCACCTAAACGTTTAAAAACAGAATAAGGCATTAAGTTTACATTAGCACCTAAATCAATTAAAGCACTTTTAAAATCAAAATTGCCAATAGTACAAGAAATAGTAAAACTCCCAGGATCTTTTTTCTTTGGGGGCAACTTGTGTAATAGAACTGCACTACATTGTTCTGTAAGAATCACTTTTTCAAAATCAACGAGCTTCTTTTTCTTTGTGCAAACATCCTTCAAAAACTTGGCATAAGATGGAATGTTCTTCATTGTGTCAATTAATGGAAGATTTATCTGAACTTTAGCCAAAGTCTTTATAAAATCTGTCAACTGTTGATCTTTAGCTTTAGGCTTTAACTTTTCTGGATAAGGCATAGGAGGCTCATAAACACGTTATGCAGTTTTTGTGGTAGCTTCTGCAGTATTTTCGGATCTGTCTTGGGACTGCCCAGAATCTGCAGAAATTTCAGAATCTGTAAAATTTGCAGATGTAGTTTGAGGCAGTTCTACTGCCTGCGAATTTCCAACAAAATTTTCATGTATGTTGTTGTAACTTTTGCCAGACCGTAAAGTCTGTATAGCATTGCATTCTTCTCGTCCTCTTGGATTAGGTATTGTTTGACTAGAAAATGTACCAGGAGCTCTTTCTGAAACCTGCACAGCAATTTGCCCAATTTGTTTTTCCATATTTTTCATTGATGCATGCAGATTTTGGATTTCATGAGTGGTAATATTTGCTAATTTTTCAATTGCAACCTCCCAAGCAGCCTTAGGTGCAGCAGGTTGATGTACCTGCTGTTGAAATTGAGGCCAAGAGTGCTGATCCTTGTCCCACTTTAAATTAGGATGATCTCTCCAACCTGGGTTGTAGAAATTTGAATACGGGTCATATCTGGGACGTTGAAAATTATTAAATGAATTAACCTGCTCCACTATAAACTCCGGATAAGCATCTTTATGTGGACAGCTCAAAAAATCATGATTTGTCAAGCTGCAAATGCTGCAGGCAGCTTGTAAAGGCTGTTGTACAACAACCTGTGAACCCGAAATTCTTTGTAATAACATGTCAAATTTTGCATCAAATCTTTCAAGCTTTTTCTCCATTTTTTCAATTTGTGCCGGCACATATGGTGAACCATTTGACATCTCAAAAACAGATCTAGATTGTGGCTGCTCAACTGCCCATTGTTGTGTATCTGCTGCCATTTTTTCAAATAATAAACAAGCCTCTTGTGCATTTTTATCTTTGTACGAACCTCCGCATGAAGCGTTGACAAGAGTTTTTGTAGTCATATTTAACCCTCTAAAAAATATATGCATTTGATCAGTAGTGTTAATACCCGGATGTGGACATTTTCTAATCAACTCTTTGAACCGCTCCCACGCCTCATGAAACTCTTCATTTGGCTTTTGGGCAAATGATAAAATCTGAGTTCTCATGTCAAGAGTCTTCGAAGCTGGATAATACTTGTTTAAAAAAATTTCACTGAGTTGGGCCCAAGTTGTAATGCTTCCAGATGGGAGCGTGAGAAGCCATCTCCTTGCTTGATCTTTTAGAGTGTATGGAAACAAACAAAGCTTAATAGATTCGGCTGAAAATCCCCTCACCAAAATATTTTTGCAACCCATTAAAAATTCTGCAATATGCATGTTTGGATCGTCAGATGATAACCCATGAAATGTAGGTAGAATATTCAACATGTGCTGCTTTATTTCAAATGTAGACCCTTCCTCCACTGCCGGATAAGTAATGCAACTTGGTATGTTTGTGGTATGGGCTGTTAAAGAATCACCCAAAGGCAAACCCGCCTCTGGAATAACGAATGTCATTTTTCCTTTACTGTGCAGGTCTCCAGAATTTAAAGGCTGTAGAAAAGTTCCCTGCAGAGGAGGAACCCACTGCAAAATTTGCTCCCTACGTCTCCTCCTTAAATTCTGCTCAAGTTCTGGATTAAGTGGAATCAATTTCTGCACTGTTGAACGGGTGCTGACCATGCACAGATTTCTGAAATCTGCACTGCTGTACTGTTGTAATCCGTAAAAATAAAATAAAAATGAAAAATAAATTTTTTTTTTTTGGTTCTATGTATAAACAGCAATAACTAATTGAAAATCTGATTAGTAGGGATTATTTTAAATAATCCCCGGCAATGGCGCCATTTTCTTGATAGGATTTTTACTACTCATGTGAACGGGCTTAAATCTCCTATTTTACTTGCAAGAATCACAAGGTTATTGTAGTATAAACGGATCTCGCAAGGTCGTCTCCACAGGGATTATTAAATAATTCGAAACTAATCAGATTCCATTTAATTATTGTAAAGTAGAAGTTCAGGTGATTGATTTTATAACCTAATTAAAATAAAAACGAAATTAAAGAATTAAAATAAACAATCTGCAATATTAGAGCTAGAGAGAAAAAAAAAAAAAAACAGTTTTGGGAGAAATCAAATTAAGAAAACACTAGGGTTCCACCATCACCTAGCAATCCTATGAATTTTTACCCATTACTTATGATCAATACATGCCACTTTGAAGGTTAGATTTTCCTAATTCATATTCTACTTGGAACCTCCAACATAGAACGTATATCTAACATGCAACCCGTCCTGACGTTCGGATCAAATCTGAACATGAAAGACTCATTATGCTTTATGAAAATCCTTTGAAAAACCATGCAATCCTTAAGACGTGATATTCATCCTAAGTGAAATTATAATTATTAATCACAAGAAGCCAGCGTCAATTTCAGGGAACCTTCCGACCAAAATTGCATCAAATTACTTTTCTAAAGATCCTAATGGTGATCAGGCATTAAGACAATTAGATAGTTTTTATCCCGGTGATTAACAATTCAAAGTATGCATGCAATCAATCATAAGCAATTAAATAAAAATCACTTATTCATGCTAAGGCTCAAGGGTTCGCCCTAGCAAAAGAAATTAGTTCCGCATACTCATAATTGAAATCATAGAAAATATATTCAAGAAAAGGATTGAAAGCACCTTCAAGTAAAAAGTCTCCAAAACCCTAACAATTATCTCTGTCTCCAAAATTGTATAAAAGAAAGCGTCGTCTAAAACTGTAGACGGCCAAGCAATATATTTGCTAAACCCCCTCACAAACCCTAAAAACAGGTCATTTCTTCCCACTAGGAAACTAATAATAATAATTAAATAAAATAGGAAACATAACCCTAAATTAAATTGTCAAATTTGCCTAAAATCTGAACACCCACGTTTTGGACCCATAAGCTGCTCCAAAACTGACCCAATATAGCTGGATTTAATGTTTGGAATATTCTGAACACTTCTCCAGAAGGCCACGAACCCATCCGAAGTCATATAAGGCTCCAAAAACGCCATTTAAGCCCAAAAACGTTATTTTCCAGCACTGCGCACTGCTTCTTTCTTTTATCGCCAGAAAATAACCGCTTTATGGAAAAATCCCAAATTTTGATACGATCAAGCTAAGTGACTCACAAACGTCCTCCAACTGGAATCACTCTAAAATTCGTCCATTTGGTCCTATTTTGCTCCAGAGGAAGTCGAAAGTCCTATATTGAAAATACAATTCAAAGTATCAAAATTCTTCCAATATATTAACCAAAATATACTAAGCTTAGGGTAAAATATATAATATAAAATCTACTCATCACAAACCTTGCAATTTTACGCTCCTTACTTGCTTATGTCCTTTGAACTCTTGCTTCAGAATGTCCCAATCACCCCTTAAGGTTTCCTTGTTCACAATTCTGAGGAATATTTTATCTAAGACAACACCTTGGATTAACCCAAGTGCGCGAGCATCCTTCATCAGGATTTCAGTCATCGTAAGCTTCTCCACTCCAGCGATCCCTTTCCTTTTTATCTACATATTCTATCTTCTCATTCTCATTCTTTGGATCTGGACCATCGAAACCATTTTCAACAAGATCCCACAGACCATGAGATTTCATAATGGTTTTCATTCGAATACTCCAGAAATCGTAATTTTCTCCATTGAAAACTGGCGTGCGAAGCTCAGCGGTGCTCGATCCTACCATATTAGACATTGGATTCAATAAATCACACCACCTCGATCTTCAAATGAGCTCGATCACAGCTCGAATCGATTCTAGTTTTCTTTTCACATATTCACGCCCAGTTTAGGCAACCGAACCTGGCTCTGATGCCATGTTAGAGTTTATAGCTTTTGGTATTTAGTTTTATGAAGGTTTTGAGTGTTTGGGAAGAAGGAAAATTGCAAAGAAAATGCAGCTATGGTGCTGCGAGAGTGATGAAGATTCTAATTGAATTTCACACTCCACTAACCAAATATAACCGTTAGAGGAGAGAGAGCAGTGAGATTCTTCTCTAACAACTTTACACCAAGATTAAATCCTAGCCTTTGATTCTATCACCCTATGAGGTGATTACACTTGTCATAATCTATCACTTAAATCTTAGGCTAGAGAAGAGACCACTTGGACTATGATCCAATGGCTCAGATTACATATGAAAGTAAACATAAAAAATTGAAATTCAAAACTTGTAACTTTGCCTCCAAGATATCAGCTCAAGGGTTGTTCATTGCAAGTGTCTGAAAGTCTAGACTTGTGATCCTCACTAAGCTGCCATTCTGAATTTGTTTCTTTCTTGTGAGTTCCTTACATTTCTTGCACACTGCAGTTGCAAAATTGAGAACTCCTTACTGACAAATGAATTATAAACATAAGTAGTGAATGCAGAAAAGAAAAAGGTAAAGAGGAGAGACATTGATCTTTACCCATGACTATAGCAATAGATGTTATTGCTCCCATTTGATGATGAATCTGGACTCGACATTAATTAGAAGATATATAGAGAGAGAGAGAGAGAGAGAGAGAGAGAGAGAGAGAGAGAGAGCAGTTCTTAGTTCTTCATGGAATTCATCTACTCTCGTTCATTTATTGGGGAAATCTTCTCTCTCAACATTCCCTTAGAACCTACTAGATATTAAGCCCGGGCGTTGCGGCGAGAACTAACTGTTTCAGGTGTAACTGCATGAATAAGACGCATTTAACCTGAATAAATTCAACATAATCATGAATGAACAGAGGGGCACATGAGTGAATGAGGTCGATAAGATAAGCAGCTTGACTATTATATACATTCAACTAAGCATGGCTTATTCAATGGTTAAAATGGCAGTTAAACTGATTGAAATAAAAACAGTCACAACACATGACTTGAACTCTAGATTTCACTTTCACTTAATCATAGGCATCCAGTCATCCGTAACAAATGGAGAAATAAGCAGAAATCACCTTGAGACAACACACCAATTAACCCCTTCTCTTCTCGCTGTCATAACTCATGCTCCACCAATTTGACACTACATTAATCAAATTCGCCAATTTTATCAATTCGATAACCCACCAGTTAGAAAAATCCAACTTACAAACCGCATGATGATCAATTACCTATAAAAAGGAAAAGGAAAGTTGGCATTTGAAATTAACTTTGGCAAAATTGAAGAACAAAATATGCAAACTTTTTGCAGCAAAAAGTAAACGACGCAGTTTGGGCAACAAAGAGCATGAAAAGGAACATAATTTCCAAGCAAGCAGAGTAATTGCAGAGCTATAAAGTTTGTCCTGAGCTAAAACAACTACCGGTTAAAGTACATACAAAGTTTTCCCAGAATTTAAATAGAAGAGTAAGCAACATTATGAACCAATTACAGTACAACGGGGGCACTTGATTTCTATGAAAAACAGTGTGGCGGAACTTTTTAAAGACGGGTTTGAAAGAAAAATATGTTAAAAGTTACCTCTACGCAAGCACCAATATCAAATCCACTCAACCGGGAATCAAAATTTGTAATTGAACCATCACAAAGAAATGCAGATTCATGGCTGACGTACTGACATCTAAATTTGAGTCAAACTTGGAATGAAGTATATGCAATATTAACAGAAAATTAAGATTCATGGCTAAGGCAAGTGTTTAACTAAACAAACTTTATGGCAAAACAAACAAAGAACAATATCTTAAATCAAGACACTTATACATAAGGAAGAAACAGTTCTATTTCGTTTCTTGTACCCACCATGACCTAGCACCACACAGATAAGGTTCATCCAAACAAAGGATCCTTTAAAATTAGATAAAACAACTATTAATGCTCCCAACCGTAAATTAGAACATACTCTTAGTCTTAAAAAAGTGTATCACATGTCTATTGGTAAGGCAAGATGTCACCCACTGAGTTTTCTGGTGACAAAATCACTAGCAACTAGCTATATGTATAGGACCCAGAATATGCATCACATCATTCTCTAGTGCTTATCAAGAGTATTTTCTATTAGCATGTTTACGAATTCTCTAGTATGTCCATCAAAAAGTAAATAAATTCTCTATTATATATGTTTTCAGTAATCGTACTTGGTGGTGAAAAAAACGATGTTTACTGATGCATGCAAACTATGGATAGATAATAATCCGCCAATGGAATTAGATCTATTCAGTCAATTGAACATGTCAAGTAAAATCATATTAAGTTGAATCCAAACTATAGCATGCTAAATAAAAACGGAAAAGGATACAACAATAGAAACTTCTAAGAACAGACATAAAAGAATTTATGTTTTGAAAACTTCTTCTAATAGGAAGAGAAAAGTTTAATGCACTCACAGCATCCTCCATTGTGGTACGTCATCCTTGCATGGATGATAAACCATATATGACACAGCCATTCTCAAAATCTTCGGAGAACTTTTCAATTTTAGGAGTGCTTAGATTGCACCCATTCCAATCTGGAATTAAATAAGAACTCAATCACAAACTTTAATCTTACAATTTAATGATCAAAAACTAAAGTAGCCAAAAACCAAAAGATCTAAGTGACAACTTGTACAGACGTTACAAAAATGCAAGATGCGAATCGCATTAAAACTTCCAAAAACTCGAAGGATATAATTCCTCTCCTTATATTCTTCCCCTTTCTCTAACCAAATAAAAATTCCCAAAAATATGCACAAAAAATTCTAAAAAAAAAAAAAAAACACAATACAAAATTAATGCAAGCAAAGAAAAAGAAACGAAAGCTCTTCTATCAGATTATGTTAGTTTTTTAGTAACCAGCAGTGAAATGTTTCATCCTCTCACCAGTTAATTACTAAGTGAATAAACAAATGACTAAACTTTCTTAATCACAAAAGGCACAAAGCAAAAAATGAAAATCATTTACCTTAATGACAAAGCACTCTGGAGTCTGAACGGTTAGATTTTCTTATTGTTTAAAAACTGAAAATCTACAAAGTGTTAACATTTGCACATATATCAGAAAAGGCATTATCGCTTGGATTTATCCTTTAAGAAAACTAACAACTGTAACGTAAACTACCAAATTAGGTTTATCCTAATTAAATACTCGAACATGACAACCCCAAACATAAACAAAATTCTAATGAATTCCAAACAATATTAATTAGAGCAAAAGAACCGCAAACATAAACGAAATCCCAAACCAATTAAAAAAAAAAACTCAGGCCAAAATAGGCCAACCCGTGCATTCCTCATCCTTCCCTCCTTCGCTTGTCTTTTTTACCCTCATGCCATATTGCCATTAATCTCTCTCCTTTTAGAATTATATAAACAACAGCAGAAAACATTAATACAGTAATGAAAATAAACACAGACCTTAAGAAAAAAAAAACCAATTACGAATCAACTTCATGTTTATATAAAAGAGATGAGATTATTGGAAATACAAAACCTTGGTTAGAGTGCAAGAGCAAGATTGAATGAAATGATGAAACTTAAAAGAGAGATATTACATGGATCAATCGTCATCATACGAAACATGGAAACTGGTAGTGCAGCTGGATGCCTCAGGAACCTCAGCCCCACAAAAGTCGTAGAACTTGTCAGCATATGGTGGATTGTCGGGTCCCAATTCATAGTACCTTAAGGGTGCGTCGTAGAACTTGTCAGCATATGGTGGATTGTCGGGTCCCAATTCATAGTACCTTAAGGGTGCGTGACTGGACTATCTTCAGGAAATAAGCTGGACTGGCTTAGACTAGACTAAGCTGGACTAGCTTAGTGAAACGTTTGGTGCAGTGTTGGACTAAGAAGCAGGATAATGAAAACAGTATTGTCACCAGTTTGGTGTTTGCTCAGACTAGGACTACATTATTGTTTTGTTTTAATTGCTTTTTTATTAAAGATATTATTAAAATTAATAATATTGGATGAGAGTGAGACTCAATAAAAATACAAAAACCAAATTCTCTTGCCAACAAAAGAAACATACATGATTCAAGAGTAGCATTGGCCGAACAAAATACATCCATATCCTAAGGTTGTACGATTAACAAGATCCATGGGAAAAGTTGAGAGAAAGTTTGTCGTTAGACGCAAAGAGGGATGATACCAAGATAGAAATCTCAGTTTAGGTATAATTAGGCTAGATGAATTAGCCATATGTATATTTTCATTATATATATAGAGTTGACAGAGAGTTTGAGATGAAATCAAACTCTTCAAATTAAAACATAACAGATAACTAAGAACTAAATACATAAATTACAAAATTCATACTTCCAAGATCGTTGACTCATTCAAACTAAGTTGAAACATTCTCTTGCATGGATTGGATAAGATAAGAGAACCATTTGAATTTAGTTTTGGTAGGCTTATAGCTTATCAGGGAATGGAACATCGTGGGTATAGGCTCAGTAGTTGGGTCCTTTTGGCTTTGCATTTGCTTACTCTTTTAGCTGCATTTCATATCACCTGGCCTGCGTTTTGGGTAGCAGTTGAACTCTATCTTGTCGTAGGAGTGAGTGTAAATCTCTCTTACCACATGCAACTTTCCCACCAGAGTTTCAAGCTTCCCAAATGGCTAGTCCAACCTGATACCAAAAAGTAAGCATATGCAAAGATTAGTTCATAAGCCAAAAAAAAAAAAAAAAACTTGAAACTCTAGCATATGCAAAGATCATTGTCTTCCTCTAGTCTTAACAGTTGCAGCTAAGAACTATGATGCAACAGAAAAACCGACATGAATGGTCTCAACTATTGCGTACTGACAAACAGAGCTTCAAGATAAAAGCCATCGCTCAAAAGACTAAATCTGAAACAAAATGTAGCTTTCCGCTTGCGTAGAGTTTCAATGCTTCAAATTGAAAAACCAACTACGAAGCTTAAAACGAAAACTTACAATGACAGAGCTCAAACAACAACAGGACTACAAAGTACATGCAGAATTACTTATACTAACAGAATCAAGATACAGCAAAGAATATAATTTATATGATAGTAATTCGAGCAAAGCACAATCCTTCAAGGGTTCATTAAAAAGGTAGTGCTGGCAGGAAGACATGTAAATCAAATCACCTCCAGTGAACGCCTTCTTCAAGGACGATGCAACTTCTCATACACTAAACATGACTACACACCAAATTTCTAAAATACATTGTTGAGAAACAATACAACTTGTCTAAACAACCATTTCAAACAACTTGACTAAATGATACATTGTTGAGAAATCGACAACATGAAATCTATGAAGAGAAGTACAAAACTACGTCCAGTAAAATGTACATAAGGAGCACAGAATATGTCTCCCAAAAAGAAAAACAGACAATAGTCAAACAGCTGTTTCCATCCCAACTCATACAAGGGAGCATTGATTTGCTACTCACAACCCCTAAACCCAAATACAACTCACAGTTACATATTATACACAGAAAGTAAGGAAAAAAATACATCTCGCCCACCCAACAACGAATATGTGAGAACCATCGCATTATGAGGAATAAAAGTGATATTTTCAATCCCACGATCACGAAAAAGGCAACGAAATAAAAAAAGAAAAAAAATACACAAAAGAAAACAGAACAAAAACATCAGCTCTATGGGACTCATGGCAACACCCCAAATATGGGAAAGGACCATAGAAAGCATTCAAAACTGCCACTTTTGCATACCATAAACTAATATGACCTTTCCTTTTGCCAAAAAGCCCTGCCAAAGATCACGCTGATTTTCCAAAAAGGTATAAGCGACTGCAAGCATTTCCTTTTCGCATACATAGTATTCATACCCCCAATCTTTTCTTTCCAATATAAACTGTGTTAAGAAATGGTTACTCACAAAACATTGATGAAAGCTTCAGAAAACGATTACTCACAAAATTTTCCAAAGAGAAACTTCCAATATGTTAAATATTCACTAGAAAACAAGTGGCACCCTTAAGGGCTAAAGAAATGGTTTTCCTTCTAGGTTTGGAGTTGAAGAAACGGTTAAATATTCGAATACAAAGCTCGAAAAAGATCAAGTATGATCAGAATAGGTAGAGAGGCCTCTTCTTAAATCTTAGCTCATAGCATAATTGTTCAACACATCCAATCCAACTAGATACCCCATCACTGCCAATACAACACCAGTCATCCTGGACATGATACATCCCTAATCCACTACTAAGATCTCCATATAAGGGTGAATTTCTCACACATTACACTCGAAGAACCACAAAAATTGAAAACATCCATAAGCTGCGAATGGATTCCTGAATGTCAAATTCTTCATAAGTATATCCAAAAAACAAGCTGCAGTCAGTGACCCAGTGCCGTTCTACTAAATTAAATAATTATGAATGTTGGATTATAGTTAATCACCAAAAACCCTAAACAAAACTCAAAACTCCCATTGAAATGCATAAACAAAACTGAAAGGAATGAACAAAAAGCAATTGAATTTGGAAAATTAAAAAATTACCCATTGAAATGCAAGGCAAATGAAGCTCACCTGATCAGACCACTAACAACGATACTGGTCCGTCGTCGATTGTTTATATGTTGGACGACTACGAGGTGGTACGACAAGGAAGGAGAAGGGAGAGGGCGAAGGTGCGAAGGGACGAGGAGCAAGCTGCAGTTGCTGCGGTTGATGTGCGAATGTGTGAAAGTGAAGGGAGATGACGGGATTAGAGGGCGGCTTAGCAGTCCTCTCTGAATCGGGGGTCTCGCTAAGGCCTATTAACGAGGGACTCAGTCGAGGCGAGTCCCTGCTAATCCCACTAAACTTAGTCCGAGTAGGGAACAAACACAAGACTGGACTAAAACTTAGTCCAGTCTAGTCTAGTGAGGGCTAGTGATGCCAAACAAGCACATCCTAAATTGATTAAAAAAAAAACATCAATCAAGTAAAGCTGTCATTTCTAGTAAAGTGTCACACCTACTCAGGCTCTCGGGCTGTCAACTATTCACAGGCCCGGAGCTCGGGCCTCACCTCTGCTTGGGCTCCTTCAACGCTGGAGCAAGTTCACAGGGCCTCGGGCCCTTTCCTCTCCCCTGTCCCCCGAGCAATGTCCATGGGTGGACTTGCTCTTATTGAAGATCAATTTCTCTCTCTACTGGGAAATAGAAAATACAACCCAAAATGCCCAAAAAGCAAAAGCTCAAAGACAAAAATAGAAAACAAAAAGGCATTCGAAAACAAAAAGTCTTTTAAATTTACCCAAAATGTACGGAGATCCAGAACTCACAGATAAATTAATTTCAGGATCAAACACTAAATGGATAAGAAACTTTACCCTTTCCTCATTTGCAGGTACCAAAATCAATTTACAAAATTAAGGTTAGGGTTTTCATATTCTCTATTGGGTAATGAAAGTCATGTGAAAAGTTCAGAAATAACCAAACCAACATCCAATTTAGTACACCTAAGAAAAACACAAGTAATAAACTATTTCCAATTTGTCATTCATTTATCAAACACAGTAATACAGTCATAGAAAAACTCTTAACTCACTTATCAAAATTAAATTAATTAAATTGGATGTTGGGGTCAAAATTTTGTGTCCGCCTAAGGGCTGGTTTGGTATTGTTGTGCTTTGAAAAAAAACTGTTTCTGCTGTGCTATGAGAATAAGCGGTTGTGAAATAAAGCTGTAGAGTGTTTGGTAAACTTTTTTTGTAAAAATGCTTTTGAAAAAAAAAAAGGCAGTATTATAGTGTTTGGTAAACTTTTATGTAAAACGAATGTGAAAAAAAACCGGTTTTTCAAACTGGGATTTGCAGCTTCTGTTTTTTCCTTTTCTCACCCAAAACTGTGAAAAAAGCTGAAGCTAAATGTTTACCAAACACAAAAAAGCTCCTAGCTTTTTTTGATACCAGCTTTTTTCAGAATCACCTCAGTACCAAACCAGGCTTAAGGATATTTGAAGCTAAAAATTTAACTCTGCTCAGTAGTTATTTTATTTTCAATCTTCAGATTTAGACTAAATATTTAACATTCCATAGTGTAGTTTCAATTTCAACTTTCCCATGAGAGCTTGTACTGGTTTTATCTTCTTCGGCCTTTTGTTTGCAATTTAAATTACATGACTCAAAATACAACCCAAATAGAACACAAATGGCCCATAGAAAAAAAATGCAAAATATTTACCAATCACTATTCACAGTTTTAGTCAAAGAACTCAAATTTCAGAGATACAAAACAAAGAAGCTTGTATAAATCATTTATAAAGGTTACCTCCTTTCACTAGAACAAAACATTTCATCTACCACATCAATTCTATCATGGACATATATAGCTCGTGGTAAAAACTATTCAATTACCACGATCAAGTTTAACTCGTGGTAGATAACATTAATTCATCACGGTCAGATTTTGACCTATTGTTAAAAGCGAATAATTTACAACAGACATTTAAATCCATGATGGAATATCATAATTACCACGAGATATACTCGTAATGGTCACTTCAAACTACAATATTGCCTTTTGTGAATTCACTACGTCTTTGGTTCGTGGTGGATGTTTTTATCCTACATAATTGAAAACATTTGAAGGAGGCGGGAGATTAAAAATTTGGAGGGCTGCCAAAAATTTGGCATGGTGCCCAAAATCTCAACTCCCTGTATTTTGTTTTTCTCTCTTTCTCTCAGACTTC